TTTTTAATATTTTATGCAAATAAATATAAATAAAACAAACTCATTAATTAATGATAATTTATATTCTTTTAAAAACGTTGTTTAAAGGCATGAAGGGATTATGGGTTTTTTCTTTTTTATTTTTATTTTTATTTTTATTTTTTGTTTATGGGAGAGAGTACAAGTGGTTCAAACTACGGGTTCACTATTCTTAATCCAAGACGGTGGGTGAGAAACCTTTTGGGTTACAAAATTGGGCCTTTATTTTTATTTTTATTTTTTGTTTATGGGAGAGAGTACAAGTGGTTCAAACTACGGGTTCACTATTCTTAATCCAAGACGGTGGGTGAGAAACCTTTTGGGTTACAAAATTGGGCCTTTTGAACTATAGGATTTCCCCTAGTACTACTAAAGTTCATTCCTCAGGACTCAGGAGAGGTCAATGTATTAAATTCTTAACAAACAATGCATATTATTATAGAAGTAGGGGCACAAAGATCCCAAAATTTATTTTAAGAGCAAGATAGCTTAGGAAACGTTAAACATAGAGATTAATTCCTTAGAATATGATCTATAGATACAAAAAAGTAAAATTACGACCTTTGATATTAAAAATCGTTAAATATCTAATTTTATATACATTATTGCTGAGATTGGGTATAATTTGTATTATATTCTAGATATATTATAACTGTGAGTGATTAAATGTCATGATATATTTTCTTCAAATTATGCCTTAATAAAAATGGAGATATTATAAGTGCCTAGGGTTCTCAAAGTTTCTCCTCTTCCCCTTTTGGAAGTTCTGTTTCTCGCGGTGATATATATAACCGTCGATAATGGTTTGCTTCCTCTACATCCGTGGGCCTCTTTTTGTCGGAGGGATTGTTCTTGTTTGGGGTAGGTAGCGCCGTAGAGGTAGGAATGTCAACCGGTCCTGTAGGGTTGGGGAGTCCTTCTCTGTTCACGTTTCTGTCTCCGTTTAGTTGTTAGGATGAAGATCCTAACGGGAATTTTTAACGGGAAGTAGATTTTGCCCTCTATCTCCGTTCCTCACCAATTAATATAAAAAAATAATTTTTTTATATATAATTAATTAATATTT